GAGAAGGTTATTCAGCAGACTCATAGAAATGTAGGGCTGGAATGGGCCTCGCCCCTAGCATGGAGGAGAGGCAATGGTATTAGAGATGCAGATGGACTCTCTTGCCTTGGATCTGAAGTAAGAGGACCCCTCCAAGTTTGGGGAGTTTGGTTCAGGCTCATCATTAAAATAGATTGGATGTGATTCACGGTGATCCATGTCCCCTCTTGCCAGGAGAACCCGTCTGGAATTCAAGGACAGTGGCTATAAACAATGCCACTGCTGAGGACCGCTGAGTGCAGGGTCTCTGGGTGCTTCTCAAGTGCATCGGGGCACTGGAGGATGTTGAGTTTGACTGGCCTTGATCAGAGGGGAAGTGCATGCGTAGTGTTGTAACCACAAAGGGAAGCCACACCTTTTCTCACAGCACATACTTCCTCTCCCAGATCTCCACCAGCCTCTAACGCACACAGAGGCTCTATGGGGGTATTTATTCTTGCTCTGTACAGTCGTCATTGTCCATTTTTTTTTTTTTGAAAGAACTCTATTTGGAAGGCAGCACTTTCCTGTGTCTCCCACCGGTCCACTTACCCGCCCATTGCTTTTCAGTGTCCTGGTGGTAATTCATTCTTTAAAACTTAAGAGGAAAAAATTAGAGGCACCTTGTAATTGTTCCAACCTCAAGCTAGTTTTACATGTCCTAATGGAAATGGGGTCACCACCCACTTCATCCTCTTTGGGTGTATTTGGGTCAGCAAGTGCTGGATTCTTCTAAAACCGCTAGAGTACAAATCTGTTGTTTGGAGAGAGAAGACTTTACTTTCTTCTACGGTAAACTCTCTCCACGCTTCATGCAGTTTCCCCTCATTCTTTTATCCTCTGCCAGGCCACTTACTTAGTTTAGATGATACAACCATATATTGAGAGAGACTGATTCAGCTGGACCTACTTTGTTTATGCTGGGAACTAATCCTTTTCTAAGCTCTCTGCATAGGCCTTCCAAACAGATACATAAAAAGAGAAAGCAACAAGGTAGATCATAATTGGAGCCTGCCAGCATTTCCCTCTCAAACAATAACACAGAAATGTGGCTTTCCCCTTCTCTCAGGTCATGGCTGAATGCATCATGCCAAACTCTTGTATGAAAGCAGTTGCCTGCCTGCCTAGAATACTCTGCACCAAGTTTCCCTGCTTGTTCAGATGGAGGGGTATACATACAGTGTACATGGGACACTTAAAAATAAAGTGGACAGAGCACTAGGAAATGTACCATAGGGAGAACTCTTGCCTTGACAGGGAAATAGACTGGGTGACTTAAGAGGGATTTCTACTACCCCTCAAACTGCTGATTCTGTGAAATTGTGAAAACAGTCTTTGTGCAGGGTGTGACTTCCTGAGTCAGATAGCCAACAGCCAGTCCCTTCCCCTTTGGGTGAAGAATGCTAGCAGTTCTATGCCTTATAGGGAAGCTTTTTTTCTATGGACACTCGCATTCAGAGCAGACTAAAGCAAATGTACTGCCAGCCAAGTGAAATTGACTAACATCCTGATCTGTGACGCCCCACACTGCACCCTGGAGGGTGGGACTCTGAAGAATTTCGAGCTGCTGCTGAGAGTACTCTGGCTTCTGGGGAGGAGAGGGGGAAGAACACAGGAGAGAGGGGAGGAATGGATGTCTCAGGGAGTGGGAACAAGCTGCCATTGGGCATGTGAGCAGAAAAATGCATTGTCAGACCTCCCCTCCTCCTCCTCCCCCCCCCCCCAAGCATCCTATGCCCAGCTTTGTGCCCTGTGTATTGGACACATCAGTCAGGCAGATGTTTAAGTGCCTGGTGTGTCACTGTTACCATTGCCTTTGTAGAGCGGTTGGCTTGGCTGGGAGACCAATGTCTGTCAATTGTTAACAAGTGGCTTGGCTAACATAATGCATTTGTTGACTTCAGTCTCTTAAATTATTTCTGGGCCCTTGGGAAGAGCAAAGTAATAAGAAAAACAATGCTGCAAACATTCCCGGATGGATGTTCAAGCAGCCTGCTGCTGGCACGGCATGGCTGCGAACAGAGGAACCACCCTGTCAATAACCTCCTTAGAGAGCAGCAGTGTGTATGTGGCTTCAGTTACTAAAATGCATCCACTGCTCAGACCCGTCCCTCATTATAAGTAACAGTCAGCATGGATTTGTCAAAAACAAATTGTGTAAAACCGACCTGATAGCCTTCTTTGACAGGCTAACAAGCCTTGTGGATAGGGGGGGGAAGCGGTAGATGTGGTATATCTTGACTTTAGTAAGGCTTTTGATACTGTCTTGCATGACTGTCTTATAAACAAACTAGGGAAATACAACCTAGATGGAGCTACTATAAGGTGGATGCGGAACTGGTTGGGAAAAATCGTTTCCAGAGTAGTCATTGGTGGTTCACAGTCATGCTGGAAGGGCATAACGAGTGGGGTCCTGCAGGGATCAGTTCTGGGTCTGGTTCTGTTCAGTATCTTCATCAATGATTTAGATAAAGGCATAGAGAGTACACTCAAAGTTTTGAGGACAATACCAAGCTGGGAGGGGTTGCAAATGCTTTGGAGTTTAGGATTAAAATTCAAAATGATCTGGACAAACTGGAGAAATGGTCTGAAGTAAATAGGATGAAATTCAATAAGGACAAATGCAAAGTACTCCATTTAGGAAGGAATAATTGGTTGCACACATACCAAATGGGAAATGACTGCCTAGGAAGCAGGGCCGGCTCCAGGGTTTTTGCCGCCCCAAGCGGCGGGGGGGAAGCCGCGATCACGATCAGTGGCAGCTCCACCGTGCCGCTTCATTCTTCGGCGGCAGGTCCTTCCCTCTGAGACGGACTAAGGGACCCGCCGACAAAGAGCCGAACATGTCGCCCCTCTTCATTAGCCACCCCAGGCACCTGCTTGCTGCTCTGGTGCCTGGAGCCGGCCCTGCTAGGAAGGAGTATTGCGGAAAGGGATCTGGGGGTCACAGTGGATCACAAGCTAAATGAGAGTCAGCAGTGTTACGCTGTTGCAAAAAAAGCAAACATCATTCTGGGATGTATTCATAGGAATGTTGTAAGCAAGACATGAGAAGTAATTCTGCTCTACTCCGCGCCGATTAGGCCTCAACTGGAGTATTGTGTCCAGTTCTGGGCGCCACATTTCAGGAATGATGTGAACAAATTGGAGTAAGTCCAGAGAAGAGCAACAAAAATGATTAAAGGTCTAGAAAACATGATCTGTGAGGGAAGATTGGAAAAATTAGGTTTGTTTAGTCAGAAGAAGAGAAGGCTGAGAGGGGACATAATAGTTTTCAAGTACATAAAAGGTTGTTACAAGGAGGAGGGAGAAAAATTGTTCTTCTTAACCTCTGAGGATAGCACAAGAAGCAATGGGCTTAAACTGCAGCAAGGGCGGTTTAGATTGGACATTAGGAAAAACTTCCTAACTGTCAGAGTGGTTAAGCACTGGAATAAATTGCCTAGGGAGGTTGTGGAATCTCCATCATTGGGGATTTTTAAGAGCAGGTTGGACAAATACCTTTCAGGGATGGTGTAGATAATACTTAGTCCTGCCTTGAGTTCAAGGGACTGGACTAGATGACCTCTCAAGGTCCCTTCCAGTTCTATGATTATTGTCTTCATAGAAAACAGACTGTTCAGCACATTGATTTTTAAATAGCTCTTTGGGGACCTGATATGGAAGTGGTCACTCCCGTTTCCTCAGCCCCTCCTCCTTTAAAGCTGAAGTTGATCGTATAATCACTTGCATTTGGACAAAGGTACAGATCTGTCTCAACACACCCTTGAACTGTCTGTCGTTTGGGGATTATACCCTAGTCCCTAGGCAGTATTGCGTTGGGGGCAGGGTAGTTCAGATCACAGATGCTGGTGTGATTGGAGGCTGATGCTTTGTGTGGAAAGAAGACCATACTGCCCATTTGCATATGTTGGCATTTCCCCTCACTGGTAGCATGCAGTATAATGGATGCAAGTGTCGATTAGAGCTTGTTTCTCTTGACTGAGAGTGACAATAATTTGAGTGACAAGGTGGGTGAGGTAATACCTTTTATTGGACCAACTTCTGTTGGTGAGAGACAAGCTTGCAATCTGAATGTCATTTCTGGCTGCTTCAGTTACTCTGAACGCTGATCTGATTTAAGAAGCAGGGAGGGAAGGAGAACCAGGGGAGGAACACTTCAGCTGATGTGGTGCAGCTTGAGATAAACAAAGCTGTTGCTAGTATATCTGGCCCTTATCATTGGTTAAATAAGCCCTCTGGAGGATGTGGGCAAGGGAGTATGTCTCATGTCTTCCCCAACTTGATCTAAGGCTTCCAGAAGTGCCATGGCAACAAAGATCAATAAAACATAAGGTGCTAGCTTGTCAAGGAAAGTTAGATTTAACTTCTGCTGCAGCTTTGCCCTGTTTTCACCACCACCAAACAGCTACCTGAGGGCCCCATCTCCATTATGCACAGCTACATTGGCAAATGCTAAGCATGTATAGGGGGCAGGGGGAAATTCCAAGACTGGAGCTGGTTCAGAGCTATACAGCAGGAGGCTTTGCTTTGTAAAACTCTTTATGGTCTCAGCGTTTTCTGAGATGCTGAGCACTGCAGTTCTCGCCAAAACCAAGGGGATTTGTGGATCCCGTAGGACTTTTGAAAATCAGGCCATTATATCTTCTGCTATAGGGCAGTCTTAGCTTCCAACTCCTTCACGGTAACATTGATGGGGTCTGTCTCTTGACTTCTTGGAAACCATCTTCCCTCCTGCAGTGAAGTGGCGGTGACGAAGAAACTGGAGAACGGTAAGAGGGATTTTTGTCACCTTACATCAGTAATCCTATCCCTGGGTCTGTGTAGCAAAGCTGCATCTGCACATTCTCCCCACTTTTATAGCAGGCACTTCCTAAAGGAGTTGAGGGTGAGAATTGGGAGAAAGGAGACTGGGTTAACACCAAAGCCTCATCTTGTTTTTTCCTTAGGTCCATGTATTTACTGTGGGTTTTACATTACAGGCCAAGAATAAGGAGACAGGGGCATTAGCTGCTGCAAAAGTCATCGAGGCTAAGAGTGACGAGGAACTGGAGGATTATATGGTGGAGATTGAAATCTTGGCGACCTGTGATCACCCATACATTGTCAAGCTCCTGGGATCATTTTATCATGACAGCAAACTGTGGGTAAGAGGCTGTTACTGCATGCTATCCCCTCTTTTGTACATCCTTCATTCTCTCCATGCTGTGCTGGGAAGGCAAAACACACTGGCTCATGGCAAAGCGACCTCCGTAGAGCCTCTGACATTCTGAAAGTCTCTGGGAGTTGCGAGCAAGGCACAAAGTGTGCACTAGACACTTCTCATAGTCACCGGGTCTCCCTCCTTCTTCTCATTGGACGAGCTGCTTAGGAACTGCCCAGACAAGCTCCCGAGACTCTCTCCTTAGGAAAAACACCGCAGTGGTTGTATGTTCTGTCCATTCACAAGTGCTTATGTAGGGCAAGAGCCTCGTTTTCCTGTTGGAGATTACAAAAAGGTTTAAAAGCCCATTTTCTCCCTGCGCCCCCTTCTGTCCCCCAATTCTCCACCCAGCCCCTCTTATTATGGAACCTGATTTAAGAGGAATCTGGACAGGTTTCTAAACGGCATGAGTCATTATTGCAGTTCAGGCTTCTGTGGTACAGTTCTGTAGGAACTGATGTTAAGAACTTAGCTCCAGGAAATGTGGAAAGCCCTCACCTGGAATGAGCCTCCTTGCATATATGCTTAAAACTTCTGGGCATTCTGTTGCTGTAACATAAAATGCAATCAAACTGGTTACTTCAGTGGCCAGTTACCGTAAAACTGGAAGAACGGCTCCATAATGGTACACTCCTGTCCCCCCCCCCCACACCCTTTTCTGACAACATACACTACTTAGTAATCATTCCCCTTGTGTTAGAGGAAAACCCTCTGATATTCAGCGTGCGGCTGCAGGGAGGGTAGAAGGGGTTGTGGTGCTAGAGAAGGATTCCCCTCTCCCTGCTGGATTCAGACTGTGGTGTACGTGTCAGTGAGGATGCCTGTATGGGGCTCCAGAAATTGGGATGTATGTAGATCTTTCACCAATGTATTCTGTTCCCTCTCTGTTCACATCTGCCAGTACAGCTGCCCCTTCTTGCAACTACATCTGGGTGGCCCTAGAAGCCTTCACGGCTATAATGTCAAACCATAAGCGTGCAAGATGCTGTGTTCCCGAGCAATCTTAATGCCCTTCCCCTCAAGCATCTTCACAGCCTCCCTGCAGATTCCTGAAGACTCTCTATTCATAGATTATAGGCCAGAAGGAACCACTCTGATCTAGTCTGACCTCCTGGTAGCACAAGCCATGTGACTTCCCTGAATTAATTCCTGTTTGAACTAGAGCATGTCTTTGAGGAAAAACATCCAATCTTGATTTAAAAATTGCCCATAACAGAAAATCCACCAAGACCCTTGGAAAGTTGTTACAGTGATTAATTACCCTCACTGTTAAACTTAAACTAGTGACTTCTGAAATCTGAATGTGGAACTCTGCTAGCTGGTAAGGTCACTGGCATCTGAGAGATGAAATGCTAAAGCCAGGGTCTCTTGCTTCACGTTAGACTATGCTAGGATGCAGCCCAGACCGAAGCCTGTCGGGCCAGCATGTATCACTGTCCTTTCTGAGAAGCGCACTAACGCTCTCCCTGTCTCCTGTGGCTTGCCATAAATCAAGGTTAAATGTGCAGCATTTGAGCTCTTAAATGTGAGCCTCAAACCTTCCTTTTCATGAGCACTGCAAGTCTGAAGGGAAGACGGCTTGCACGTTGTCTTGAGAACTAGCATTCAGATGGCAACTGATCTTCGTTTTAAGCGTCACGTTAGGTTCAAGCATCAAAATAAATCTCTAACCTTCCAGCAAAGTGAAAGGCAAACATCCTCATGAGGGAATTCAGGGAGTCTACTGACACTGTGACTTTTCCAGAAATCAAAAAGTCAAACAAATCGACAAGCTCAGGATTACTTGTCTTACTCTATACCAGTGGTTTTCAAGCTGCTGGTCATGACCCAGTAGTGGGTCGCGGAATGTAAGGCACTGGGTTGCGGCAGCTCTGGTCAGCACCGCTGACCGGGCCATTAAAAGTCCCGTCGGCCATGCTGCCCGGCTAAGGCAGGCTAGTCCCTACCTGTTCTGACACCGCAATGTGCCCCGGAAGTGTCCAGCAGCAAGGCTGGCTCCTAGGCTGCCCGAGCCCCAGCTCTGCACTCTGCCGATGGGAGCTGGGGGGCGGTGCCTGCAGGCAAGAGCTGTGCGGAGCCCGCTTGTGCACCTCCGCCTAGGAGCTGGACCTACTGCTGGCTGCTTCCGGGGCACAGCGCGGTTCGCAGTGCCAGGACAGGCGGAAAGCCTGCCTCTGCACTCCAGCTGCGCCGCTGACGGGGAGCCGCCCAAGGTAAACCCACGCCCCAATCCCCAGCCCATTCCTGCACCCCAAACCCCTCATCCCTGGCCCCACCCGAGACCCTGCACCCTGACCCCTTCCCACACCCCAACCCCCTGCCCCAGCCCTGAGCCCCCCAAACCCAGAGCCCTCTCCTGCACCCCAGAGCCCTCATCTGCGCCCCCAGCCCAGGGCCTGCCCCCCAGCCCAGAGCCCCCTCCCACACCCTGAACCCCTCATTCTCAGCCCCACTCCACAGCCCTGAGCCCCTCCCACATCCCAAACCCCTCATCTCCAGCTCTGTTGGGTCGTGGGCATCAAAAATTTTCTTCAACTGGGTTGCCAGAAAAATAGTTTGAAAACCACTGCTCTGTACCTTCCCCACTCCATTTCTGCCTCCTTCAGCTTCCCCTCACTTTAACTAGTCAGCCTGATTTATTTATTGGCCTCTGTTTTCTAAAACATCAGCTTGTTCTTCCCACCTCCTCCCTCCGTAGGAAGCTTTCCTTCCTTCCTGTAGGAAATTCTGCCTTTCCCCTTTGCTCTGCTTTTCTCTGCAAAGCACTGAGTAATGTGTCATTGTCTGCTGACCTACTAAAATTAAACGGTCCTTTAGAAACTAATGAAACAAGATATCCCGGTATCAAAACCTCCCATGAGGGGAAATCTTCTTGTACCTCAGTCCATTGTTAGGTGGCTAGTGTTCTATTTTTGGTTATTTGCAAGTGGCATTTGTCTTTCACCATTTATGCTGTTCATTTAACTACTCCTGTGTTTCACTGGGCTCGTAGGAAGTAAACAGGCCAGGAAGTTCCACTCTTAGTTACATCTACACAGCAGCTAGGAAGTGTAGTTCCCTGCTTGGATAGACATGTGCCAGCTCTGATTCAGCTAGTTACCAAAAATAGCTGTGTGGCTGCTGCTCAGGCTAGTTGCCTGAGTACAAACCCACCCAAGAGCCTAGCCTCAAACAACATTTCCAAGATTCTCTTGCAACAAATACAAGGCTGCAGCTTTTGGGTTGCAAACGTTGCAGGGGAATGTTTGCATCCAAATGGGGGTGGGTTTATTTTGTTGTTTTAAGAACATACATTTCTGGTAAATAGAATGGTGTAAAAACTTTTTCTCCTGGAGGTGTTCAGAAGCCAGAGAGGCAGAACCTACGGCGTTTTTGGCTCAGACGGTCAGTGCAGGAGCAAAGCCCTGTTGGAACACTCCAGCGGAAGGAAATCTGAGTGCTGTGCCGTATCAGCAGTGCAGTGGGGTTCCCCAGGGTTCTGAGAGTGGCATGAAGGAGTGCCCCAAGTGTAGAGGCGTTGCAGGGCTTCGCCCGGCCAGTGGTCATGACTTACTCAGCCTCCCTGTCGGTGGCACGTTCCGCTCCCAGTATCTTATTGCTGTGTAATGCTGACCGACCCTGGCTGTCGGTGGGCGGGATCGAATCTGGGGCCTCTGAAGCTTAGGGCATGAGCCTCTACCGCAGGAGCTACTGGCTGTTAGCTAAGGCTGTAGAGCAGACTCATTTTATCTCTGTCTCGAAGGTGTGTGGGTTACAGCTGCAGCCTGCGTAACACGGACACTGAAGTCTCAATAGACTGAAGTCCATGTTCCAGTGCTGGCCCCGGTATTGAGACGTTAACTGAGCTGATAGAGCAAGTGCTCCTGAATTAATAATGAAAAGATGTGAAGAAACCTGGGATTCAGCAGCATCCGCTTTTAGCGTTGCTGTGAGCTCCAATCACTGCCCTCGCAGTTCCCGTGTTTGGGGGTCAGGGTTTTGCCTCATTTTCGGTAGGCAGCTAAGTGCGGTGTTTGTGGCGCTAACTTCTGCACGGGGGAAAGTGTATAAAATGCTCCCGACCCTGAAGTAGGTTCATTTAAACTAAATATTCACCCTTATTTTGGTCCCTGGCAATCCCTGAGCTATATAAAGTTGAGTGAAAAGAAGCCCCTGCATTCTGGAGTGTGAGAGTGAAAGCCTGCTGCAGGCCACAGGTGTAAACAGTGTGAGTTTGGACACTCCATGAACTTTATGGGATGGAGTTGTCCTCATTACAACATTCTGCGCTGAGGAATTTTAAGTTGCAATACATCCCCATGATGCTGTGCTCCATGCACCGTGCCAATAGTTACTGACTCACTTCACTTCCTTCTGCTCTTGGCAAGAGCTAAGCAAGCTTGTGCTACTTATAAACAGCCCCAAGAAGCTCCCAGAATTGCAGTGTTGCCAACTCTCATGATTTTTATCGCGAGCCTGGCGATATTTGGTGTGTGTTTCTTAAAGCCCAGCTGTTGGAATTGGGGCACTAAACGAGGGTGGAGACCCTCATGCAAATAAAAGCAAGTTTATAGCCCTTGTGGGTGGGGAGCAAAGCTTGCAAACGTGACCTGAGTGCAGCCTATGGGATCAGGAACCTGAAGGCAATCTGCCACCTGCCCCCAATATCTATTATTAAAAATAATCTCAACTCTTTGGGGCCTGGGCCTCATGGTTTTTGAATGCTTGGGGTTGGCACTACTGAACTTTCTCTTCTTGGGGAGAGAATATAGTAGCTGTTGGATGCACTGTCTTCTTCATTGCTTATTGACTTCTAGGCCTTGGCTACACTGGTGCTGTACAGCGCTGCAACTTGCTGCGCTCAGGGGTGTGAGCAATTTCACACCCCCCCCCCCCCTGAGCGCAGTGAGTGCAGCGCTGCAAGCTACTCCCCTCGGAGAAGTGGAGTACATGCAGCGCTGCGAG